CATGAGGTAGTCAAGACAAACACTAAATGAGACTATTACTTGAAACTTATAGAGACTTGAGACTTTGTTTATCACAGTTCGTAATTACAGTGTTGCAAATATAATTTGATAAGCAAATTATCTCTCCTTTGGTCTTTATTGGCTATCACAATTTCCCCCTTTTCTATTTATCATTAATTTGCTTATCAAACTTTATTACAGCTTCTCGGGCTGCCCTCAAAGTAGGAAATGGTTCAGCCTTAGATGTTTCTTCGCTTGATTCGGAATATGGCTGTCTCATTACCATAAGTTGTACCGTTTCCATCCTACCTTTAACAAAAGTTACAAATTTATTCAAAATACAAGGACCAAATGTCAAAGTAATTAACAACATTATTAGGGGGCCTATTAGGGTAGAAATTAAAGTAGTTAACCAGGGTGATTTGTTAAACCATGATTCAAACCAACTTTGTTGAGTTTCTCTTTCCCTTTTCCTTTGAAAAATTCCTTCACGTAATTTAGTCATAGATTCACGAACTACTCCTGAATGATCTGCATAAAAGCAACATTCTTCTCCTAATGCAACACATAGTCCCCCTTGTTGTAAGAATAATAAATCTAATCCTCTCCTATTTTGTAGAACTACTTCAGAAAGTGAAGTAAGAGATTTCTCTAAGTATGATATTGATTTTTCGATTCTCACTAAGTCTTCATCGACTGCTGCTCTTAGAGATGTAATCCCTTTATTTTGTTCAACGAGAGATGCAATTCCTGTTGCTGCTCCCGCTGTTCCCAGCCCAAGGAGCATAGCAATAGTTATGGCAGTAAATGGTTCCCTTTTTTGTATCCTGTGTTTATTATCATCCCATTGGTCAAGAATCGATTCCTTCGAATGGTAAAGAATTCGGGGTATTATCGTTATTTGAACACAAAAGTCTTTACTTTCGTTAAATATTTGTAAAGACGAGCAGGGTGTGACACCCGTCCTGGAGCATATCCACCATCCTTCTCTGCCAGGTATAACCCATTTCTTGGTTTTATCAAGTTTCTTGATGGTATAGCTGCATAAGTTTCTTTTCGTTGGAGGTACATTTCCTATGCACACTCCCTGTCCTCTCACTTGCTGGAGAGTGATTCCTACCTGTTTTTCCCCCCAGTTACATTGCTCAGGGTTGCCCTGATTGGATATTTTAACTGAGGTGTTCAGAGCTATCCCCTCATAGAATGGAGGTTTGATGTCATAACACAACCAACAGGAATTAGTTAAGTTAGAATCGGTGTGGTTAAGTGTGTAATAGGCCGCTTGCATCAATTTTAACAATGGTTCTGCTTTCTCATCTACTTTAGTGTAGGTTGAGGTTTGACTAGAGTCATTGAAACTTACAGTTGGGGCAGTTGAAACTGTGGAAGTTTTTCTTTTTCTACTCTCCTTCCGATTTAAATTATCCTCTTTTTTCTTTATGACTTTATTGGGTCCTACTGCCAGAGGGCGGTGGATGATTTCTTGTTTTTTTATGAATATCAGCCCTCCCCTGTCTGTACCTGGTTCCCAGTATCTGATTCCCCAAGTTCTCCCTATTAACCATCCTGGATCTTCTGGTTGCATTACCTGGAGGGTTATATACTCACAATTGCTGTACCTCCTTGCTCCTTTAGACAAAACAAATTGTGAAGGTTTACAGCCAGGTGGTCCCCATGTCGCTGTTAGGTACTTATCTTGAGAATTAGGAGTCCAGGCAGAAGCAATAGTGGCGCAATCCCAGTGTGCACAATAATATTGACCAGGATAGTTACAATATCCTTTTCCTGGATTAGATGCAGGACAAAGATAATAAGGGCTCAAATTTGAACAACGTGGTAAAGGAGCTATTTGACACAGGGTAGCAGAGAAACTGGGAGATCCTACTGTAAGATTAGTTCTAATTGTTTTTAGACCGTCCCATCTGTTCAGAGTCCACTTGTACGGCTGATGTGGGCTTTCCCTGCTTGGGGAGAGCTGCCACAGAAGTACCACAATCCATATATAATTTCCCATATCTGTTCTCCACCGTATTATTGCTCTGCCTCCTCCGTCTACTCCTTTGCCGGGAGCAACGGGGTTTTACATCTTCTCGGCAGCAGTCAATATTCTTCAGGAGAGTATGGGTTTTTGATAGGTTCTTATGACCTTTTCTTTTATTTCTCTAGACCTATTTGTTTCATATGCTTCCCTAGTATTTCTAAAAGTTGGTTGGTTGTGAAATTTGTTTTCCAGGCAAATTTAATGGCACGCTGTTCTAGAGTTTTGTACCAATCTTTTTTGTAGACTTCCCAGTTCTCTGGTACTAACCACTCCCATCCACAGAATAACCCATCAATTTCCAGAACACTCAGTTGCTCATCAGAAGCAATAAAGAACTCTTGACAATTCATACAATGGGTGTCTCGTCTACTTGCTGCACAATACACAATACTACTCTATACCACATACTGTACATTACAACCGACCCAGCTCTGATGCCCTGAATCTGGGTGTTTTATACAGGGTAACTTCCGTACAGGTCTTTCTGGCAGAATAATTTCAGTCTCAAATTCACAACAATGAGGAAAAGCTCTCCCTCATTCAGCAATTTGGTATAATCCACTTCCCCCAGTCTGGTAGGGGATTGGTCCACTCAGCCAATGGCTATACCGAACTTTTACTAGGGTTAGGTCTCGAGGTATTCCAAACCAAGAGTATAGACTGGTCTTACGTCTCATTCAAAGTGATTCATTTACCAGTCCTGTTTTTCTGAACGTCATTCGGAGATTCCCAGGTTGAGAGGTTACAGTCCATTCAGGAGTGTTGACTGGCCCCTTAACACGAGATGCGTGAGTCCATCCTCTTTCAGCGGTACGAATGGCTGTGTCTGTAGTGAGAAGAACAACAAAAGGTCCTTCCCAACGAGGGGTTAATGAAGATTCTTTCCATGTTTTAATTAACACCCTGTCTCCAGGTTGAATTTTGTGTATTGCCATATCCAACGGGGGTCTCTGAGTTACTAATCCTTTTTTCCTCAATTCCTGTCTCCTTTTCATCAACTCGATTATATATTCCCTTAAGAGGGTATCTTCCACCTTGGGATTTTCAATCGGGATTCCAAAATCATATGGCATTCCATACAGCATTTCAAATGGTGAAATTCCTGTGTCAGTACGTGGTTGGGTCCGTATGTATAATAAGGCCAATGGCAAACACTTTACCCAATTCATTTTAGTTTCTATCATTAATTTAGTCAATTGTTTCTTTATTTCTCCATTCATTCTTTCCACTTTACCAGAGCTTTGTGGATGCCAAGGAGTATGGTACTCCCATTTGGTTCCAAAAAGTTCTGTTGTCTCTTTGATTATTTTAGAGGTAAAGTGTGGTCCCCTATCCGAATCCACTACTGCCACAGCACCATACCTTGGAATAATTTCTTCTAATAAAATCTTAATCACAGTTTTGGCTGTACATCGGGCTACCGGAAAGGCTTCTACAAAGTGGGTGAGATGGTCCACCAACACCAGTAGATGGCGATACCTGCCTACTTTGGGTAACTCAGTAAAATCTGTCTGTACTTTCTCAAAAGGTCTCTTAGCTATTTCTCGTCCCCCTTGTACCCGTTCTCTCAATTGTCTTTTGTTTACCCTCTGACAGGTTAGACACCCTTCCAAAACCTTTTTTGCTACTCCATAAACTCCCACACAGACAAATTTATTTTCAAACTGATCCACCAACGCCTGTATTCCCCAATGGGTCCGCTCATGTAATTTCTTCATTAGTCTCTGAGCAAGCCCTTTTGGAAGTACTTCCCGACCATCTGCCAATAACCATTTATTATTTTCTTCCTTTGCTCCAGATTGCTGCAGTTTCTTTTTCTCTTGATCACTAAAACTTTTCAGGCTAGTTCTATCTTCTGGTTCTGAACTTGTCATTACTAATAAAGCTGCTTTCTTTGCTTCTTCATCTGCTAGATTATTACCCCTAACAGTAGCTTTTAACCCTTTTTGATGCCCTTTAATATGTACTATTGCAATTTGTTTTGGCTTTCTCAAAGCTTTTAAGATTTCTCGTATTAGAGTTTCATGAATAAGTCCCTTACCCTGGGTATTAGTCAATCCTCTCTCTTCCCATATCTTGCCGAAGGTGTGAACTACTCCAAATGCGTACTTAGAGTCTGTGAAGATAGTGCCTGCCTTTCCATCTAATAATTGTAACGCTCTCAACAGTGCATATAACTCACAAGCTTGGGCTGACCATGTCTTATCTAAGGGTCCAGATTCTCTGACCTGAAAATTTTTTCCATCTATCACTGCATATCCTGACTTTCGATTCCCATTAATCACTCTAGAAGAACCATCGATGTATATTTTCTCTCCTGAGCTCAGTTCTTCTTCTTCTAAGTCTTCCCTAATCTTTGTTTGAAGGTTTATTACTTGTAAACAGTCATGTCCTAGGTCTTCTTTAGGTTCTCCATATAAAAATTGAGCTGGATTTTGCACATGTGTCATCTCTAACTCCAGATCAGGTGAATGCAATAGGATACTTTCATATTTTAATAGTCGACTATCAGTCAACCATTTCTCAGCTCTCTGTTGTAATACTCCTCTTATATTATGGGGAGTGAATACTTTTAATTCTCCTCCAAAAGTCACCTTTATAGCTTCTTCAACTAACAAAGCTGTAGCAACTATACATTGCAAACATGTGGGCCAACCTCTACTTACAGGATCTAGCAATTTTGAATAGTACCCTACCGGTTTCCTCTGCCCGGCCCAGGTCTGGGTTAGGACTCCATATGCTGTACCATTTTCTATATTTACAAATAGGTAAAAAGGTTTCCGATTGTCTGGCAGACTTAACACAGGCGCATTTATTAAATCCTCCTTCAATTTTTCTAATTGCTGTTCATCTTCATCACTCCACTTTACCAACCCCTCCTTGGTTAATTTTTCATACAGAAATTTGACTTTACTGCTGTAATTTTCAATCCATTGCCTACAATACCCAAATAGGCCCAGAAGTTGTCTAATCTGTCTTTTGTTCCTGGGTACAGGTAGTGACAGAATTCCATTTACTCGATCAGGATCTAATCTTTTATGTCCCTTGCTCAACCAATGCCCTAAATACTTAACTTCTTCCTCTGTAAATTGCAATTTGGACTTTGACACTTTCAAACCCTTTAAACTTAAGAAATTCAGAAGTCTAATGCTTTCATCTCTGACATCTTCTAACTTTTTCCCCGCAACTAACAAATCATCAACATATTGAATCAAAACTGTACCCTGGCGAGGTTCAAAAGACTCTAATAACTGTCCTAAAGCTTGTCCGAACAAATTAGGGGATTCTGTAAATCCCTGAGGTAGAACAGTCCATCTAAGTTGTTGTTTCCTATGTGTGTCAGGGTCTTCCCATTTGAAAGCAAAGTAGTCTCTACTTTCTTCTTTCAGAGGACAAGTCCAAAATGCATCTTTCAGGTCGATCACACTATACCACTTATGGTCAGGTGAGAGTCGGTTTAGTAAAGTATAAGGATTAGCTACTACAGGGTACCGGGTAACTGTCCGTTTGTTTACTTCCCTTAAATCCTGCACCAGACGATATGATCCGTCAGATTTCCTTACCGGCAAAATGGGAGTATTATGGGGTGACTTACATGGTTCTAATAATCCTTGTGTTAAAAGTCTTTCTATGGTCGGTTTAAGTCCAACTCTTCCTTTATGTGGGATGGGATATTGTTTCACTCTTATTGGTTCCCCTGGATTTCGAATAGAGATCCCGAATGGCTTTATATCTAGCTTTCCCACAGAGTCAGGAGTAAACCACACCTCCGGATTTATTCTCTTTTCGTCCTCTGCCGTAAGGGCATATATTTGGACTTGTAATTTCTGATCTTTCACTTCTAAATTTATTCCCAATTCTATTATCAAATCTCTCCCTAATAGATTATACTCAGCCTCAGGAACCAATAGAAATGTTCCTAATGCATATTTATTCTGGGCTTCTATTTCCACATCTTTTATGAGGGGCACCTTAAATGGTTCTCCCTTGGCTCCTATAACTTGGACTGTGTCTGAGGAAGTCGTGCAACCCCAAGGTAACTTTTGAACTGTCGATCTTTCTGCCCCTGAATCCACTAAGAACTCAAGTTCTTGTTGCTGGGGACCTATTTTAAGTTTTATCAAGGGCTCTGTATTCTTCTGGGTCCCCAGCAAATAGAGCCCCTGACTCCCCTATTCTTCTTGGTAAATCTGCTCATCTTGTAATCTCTTCCTGCAATTCCTTTTTATATGTCCCTTCTGCCCACAGTAGTGACACTCCACCTCACTTAAGTCTAACCGCACACGTCCTCTTAATGGTTCACTTTTATTAGGTCCACAAGGGATCCTTCGTCTCTGTTCTCTGTCCCCTCTTTGTCCTCCTTTTATAGCTGCCACTAAAATTTTTGTCTGCTTCCTCTGCATTTCTTCTTGCCTTTTCTGCCTTTCCTCTTCTCTCTTCCGTAATTCTTCCTGTCTCTCCTCTCGTTCCTTTTGACTCTCTTCCTCTCTCCGCACATATACTTTCTGCGCAGTCCTCAACAATTCATCCATTTCCTTACACTGCCAATCATCTATGTCTTCCAGCTTCTTTTTAATATCTGCCCATGCTCCACTCACAAACCGCATCTTAAGCACCTGCTGTCCCATTCCATCACCTGGATCCATACCAGAATAAAGTTGGAAAGTCCTTCTGAGTCTCTCTAACCATTCAGTTGGACTTTCTTCTTTCTTTTGATATTCACTGAAAGCCTTCGTAACATTCTGCCCTCTAGGTACAGATTCCTTTATCCCCTGGACAATCATTTCTCTCAGGTCACTCATATTTCTTCTATGATTTGGCTCATTATGGTTCCAATTAGGGTTTTCTGAAGGCCATTTAACATCTGCATCTGGACCTTGCCGGTGCCTTTGGTCCCAGTTTTTCATTCCCGCTTTTCTAATCATTCTCCGTTCTTCCACAGTAAATAATATTCCTAAAATTGACTGCATTTCCTCCCAGGTATATATATTAGGACCTAAAAACTGGTCAAACCTCTCAGCCACTCCCAAAGGATCCTCTAAGAGATTTCCCATCTCTTTCTTAAATGCTCTAACATCTCCTGAATTCAGTGGGACTGATATAAACCCTATCTTATCCCCTTGATTTCGTCCTCCCCCCATTGTAGTCTCTCTTAAGGGATACAGCTGTGACGTGTTAGTAGATGAAGAGACTGCTCCTGAAGAACAAGGCTCTGTTGGCATGGACTGTGGAATCATTGGGGGTATTATGTTAGGATTCTGTGTGTCAGGAGCTGCTGATTGCTGTGCTTCTTGAAGGGGGAGTGGACAGGACGTTTGCTGATCTCTTACTCCAGCAGCCACTGACAGACTGGCTTCCTCAGTTTCGATAGGGGAGAGAGGTAATTTTGCTGGAGCAGTGGGAGTGAATACACTCCTGTGGTCGTTCTGAATTACAGCACCACACAGAGGTGACCCCATAGGCATAGACCAAGACAGGACATATGGGGGGGGTATTTTTTGAAACTCCTTTAAATCATAAGCCGTCCTCTGTCCTTTCTCTTCACTTAACGGGGAGAGAGAGATTCTAGTATCTACTTCTATCCATAAGCTAGCGTACTCACATTCCTCTGCACAAAATGGTCTTTTGCTATTCACATACAAATTTAAAGCCTGACATATCCACTCCTCAAATGAGCCATACACCGGCCAAAACAAATAGTCCTGTCTGATTTGCTTTCCTCCCCATACTTCCATACAATAATGCACCATCTTCTCCCTCGACTTTCCTTCTCTAGAGGGATAATCATTCCAACACTTGATCATAACTCCTAAAGGACTGTCTGGGGGTATAGTTGGTAACCCCACCACGAACTCATTCTCGAGTTTCTCCCTCTCCTGTGGGGTATCCTGCAGCTTCTCCTTATGATCCCCCATTTCACCCCTCCCTTTGGGTTCTTCCTCACTCTTAGGGCTGTCCTGCACTAATTCACAGCCACCCATGGGAGTAGAAGATTTACTTTTCTTCTGTCCCATCTTCCAGAATGCTTTCTCACACAAATTCACTTCAGTCACTTCCCTCCTTTCGTGACTTGTCTCCTCTGGAAATACCAGAACCGCACTACCGGGAGGTCTCAATCACTTGTCCTGCTGGACTTCTCAATCTCTCGCACTCTGGGGTTCCCTCCCCACCGAGAGGGGTTCGCAAATACTTACCTCTCCTGGGTAAGTCTTCATCCAACTCCTCGCTGGACGGTCCCTTCCCAAACCGAGCGGCACCTGGTACTCTTACTCTCTCCTGGAGTAAGACACTTACTCCCCCTGGAGTAAGTCCCCGTCCGAACTCCTGTCGAACGGTCCCTCCCGACTGAGGAGGTTTCACTACTCACTTTTTCCTGGAGTTAGTCTTCGCCCGGGCTTATGCATAAGAATTACAGGGAACTGCAGTAATTTTATTTGCTTATTTGCTTTTTTCTAAATCTTCTCGGTCGGAATTTCAGAGTCTGTGC